ACCTGTGGGTTCAGTGGGTCCATGGGCCATGCAGGTTGGGCACATGTGAATGTGCGGAACCACCACAACTTGGCAGCTTTTCTGCTCAAGAAAAAGCTTACTTGGGGGGTGAGGAGGGGGAAGGGTACTGCTTGGGTACAGATGCTGGGGTCTTGATCTTTCTGTCTGTTCTAGGCTCCAGGCAACCAGGGCCATGGTCCCACCAGCGTCCATTTGGACATAGCAGAATGCAAGCGGGGCCTCCAGACAAAGGGAGTCAGTCTCACTAGGTCTAGGGCAGGGCACACTCCAGCTCCAGGATGGAAGTGCATCTCAGCTGCTCAGGGGAGGAGGGGGTTTCCTCTCTCTGGGCTTCCAGTGTGAGACTGCAGCTACACTAACTCTCAGCTACTCTCCAGCTGGGCCTCAGTCCCCAAAAGACTGGGGGACTCTCTTGTGGTGGGGATCCCTGGCATTTGTAGTGGCAGTGGAAACATCTGGGGTCTCTTCCAGCTTATCTTCTCTCTGCCTGATTCTGAGCCGGTCCCTACAGCAGGGCGAAGGCTGGATGCCCTGCTCTGCTCTCTATGGTGCTGTTCCTGTCTTCTGTGTTTCACGAGGATCTCGTCCCTCTCCTGGTGCTCTGCAGCATATTTCATCAGTCATTCCAGTCAAAATATATTCATTTCTCTGTTGTTTTTCTTTTTGTCGGGGGGACTAGTGCCAAACTTCTCTAGTCGGCCATCTTTGGGTAGGGGGAACTTAACAAGGAATTCTAAGTTGTTACACTATCAGGATTCGCCCTCACATAAGACTGTCCAGGATTTTTTTGCTATATCCATATATTCATAATTGGCTTATCTACTCTTCTTTACTCTCAATATGTGAACAAGATTTAGGACTTTATCAAGATACTTAAGTGGTGATGGTTTCACTACTACTGAGTTACCTGATGCAATTTGGAAGTTGTAGGTACTTTGTACTGTCAGTATTGATGGAAGTATGTATACGTAGAAGGGTCTGAAGTGACATGCAATGTGGATAGTCTTTTTTTTTTTGACAAAGGGAAAAGGACTCTACTAAGAATTTGACTGTTAAGTAGTTAAGTTGTTGTAGCAACTATGACAGAATGACCTAGGTAATTACTAGAGCCAAGGTACTTTTGACATTTGACTGAGTTATCTACACTCTAACTTTGTACATTTAGGGCATTAATACTAAAAAAGGAGAAATGCAAGACATTAGAAAAAAATCCTATTAAATGTGAATAATCTCAGATCTGACAGAAGTTATAAATTCCTTTTTCCTAGCATGATACTCATCATTCCTTAGGTCTCAGATTTCCAAGCCATTTTTAGGAAAAGGATTGTCTTTCACAGTAAAGTCTCAGTTTTTGGAATTGTCTTTCACTGAGTAGTTATTTTTGAAAAAAATGATACCTCCTTAAGGAAATGTAATGGTATACTCAGTGTTCTTAGGTTCAACTTGAACATTTTTCAAAGTCCTTCAATAAAAAAAAAAAAACTCAGTTCCAATTTTCTTTAACAACAATAAGCTTTACTCCTATTATCAAGAATTTCTATTAAACAAACTGCAGTGTACTATTATAAAACTAATAAAGGAAAAGAAGTGGTACCAGGAGACTCACAGTGTCCTCAAAATTACTGGTAGAAATAAAGATTTAAAACATCTTAAAAAATTTAATTTCTGGCAGAATTTGTGGGAAATAGTGACTGTTTTGTTTTCAATTGCTTTCTGAACAGTAGTCAGTGAGTTGCTTTCAGTCAACACAAGCCAATTCTTATTTGTCATTTAGTTTTGGGTCACCTGCAGCTTGCACACAAGGGCTTAAACATGTTATTTATATAGATTGTAAGTGTTTTACTTGGTGGTGGTAGAAAATTCAGTTGTTTGTTCTTAAAAATCAGTAAGTCTTTGATTCTGCAAGTAACTTTCCTTTTACTTTTTCTTTAGACAAAAATTGAGGGGCCTTAAATGTTACTAAGGACATAAAAATAATAACTTTTGTTCTAATGTACTTAAAATTTAGGATAGCCTTAAAGGTTCATTGTTACAGCAACCTTCAATAAAACTATTAAGCAGAGAAAAAAGTATCATATGTATATTTCAAGTAGTCTTCTAATAGGTATTTTCATAATTGAGTGCCTTGAGAGTTAGGTTTATCTTTCTCATTTTGTTTCCATTTACTTTAGCACCTATAATTTCTTTAATTTCTAATGTTTTTAATTTCAGTAAATAAATTACAACTCACAACCTTATACTATGTGCTGCTAGAAAATTCACACTGTGAGATTCATATATACTCCAAGCATTTGAAGGACCCACAACCTTTTCATTAAAAATACCATCCATATAATTATCTATTTTGTGTGAAAAGTACCTCAACATTTTTATCTATGTATACAACTATGCTTGAAAAGATAAAAAGTTGATCAACAAATATTTCCATTGCATACTTTCACTTGTGTTATTACTACTTGTTTTGATAAGGTCTTATAATCTGCAACTGATATTTTGCATTCTCAGCTGCCTGTTGTCTCTACAATATGCCTGCTATACCATCTTTCCATACCACCTTGATCTATTAATGTTATTTACCAGTAGTTCACATTTGGAAGCTGTGCTTTTGTCTGTTCACAATGCCCAAAGATAACTTACTTGACCTCAATAAATGGCACCTAGGAGTGCTCCTACTGCCATATATCTTCCTACTACTTTGGTATTAAAATCAAAACAGAATCACAGAATATTATAAGAAGAAGAACTGGACCAAGGACTCTTAGAGCTCTTTTAAAGCTCTCATTTTATAAATCTGTTATAGTTATATTAAAAATAAGATGTTATGCAATTTATTATACAAATAAAGGCCTAATAATGGAATAATGATTATTAACAACTTTTAAAACCACATTAGTAAATGGTGTTTCAATTAAAGATAAGGCTGTTCCTTATAAATTTAAAAGACTGAAAAAGAATGAACCACATTTAGGGCCTTCACTAAGCAATGCCAAGCACAACTGAAATTAATTTTTTAACCCAAGAAGAATATTATAATAAAGTAAAACAAATTGATAAGATATAACATTAAATGTTTTACTATTTAGGTATACAATATGCATTTTACTAAAAATTTGATTGTGAAGAGTTAAAGACTGTATGATTTGCATATTATATGAATTTGATTAATGAAAAACCTTTACCTTCATTTCTAAAGTTATTTAGTTTTCTCACTGTCATTTTCAAATCTAAAGTCACTGCATCATGAAACACTTAGCAGCTAGTTAGCTTGAAATTAAGTCCAACTAACTAAAATCTGGGAGTAAACACAAAGTATTTTCTGATACTTGTACTTTAATTTTTTTTTCTGAAAAAAAAAAGTTTATCTCATATTATCTAGTCTTTGGTTTGGATAATCCTGCTGAATTATACTTACTGATATAGCAAACTAAAAGATCTTAGTACATATGCTGAAAAATTAGAGAAACTTTCATTAGAAATAATTAGAATACCAGAATTAGGGTGGACACAGCAATGTTCATAAAGATAGTACAGTAGTTGATAGCAGTCTTAGCAACCATTTCTTAAAAACTGGGACGTAAGTTTACTATTATAAAAGGCTTTCTCAGCACATGCACCCATTCCCTTGACAATACAAAAGAAAATAACTTTTGAATATTTATTACATCAATTTTTCAATTTTGTGGGAACCTGCTAAAGGCACAATGAAGAAATTAACATAGTCTCAATAAATTGAGCACATAATGGGCCCATGAAGAATGGCTCCCCAGAACTGTAGGTGTTTTCTAATGTCTACTATGTAATAAAACTGTTTAAATAAAATTTAAATATCAGAAGTTACAGTTGTGATAAAACTTTCACTTGACTTTACAGCAGAAGGAGTCTAAGAAAGCACTCTTCTATAGCAAATTATAGAATTACTGGCAGCATATATAAATAGCAAGAAAAAGTGACTATTTCCCTAAGCAAGAACCCATGGAAGTAGGGAATTATTTATATAAAGATTGTATAACTTAATGTACTGGAATATTTACAGAATTGTCTAAGAAAGCACTCTTCTATAGCAAATTATAGAATTACTGGCAGCATATATAAATAGCAAGAAAAAGTGACTATTTCCCTAAGCAAGAACCCATAGAAGTAGGGAATTATTTATATAAAGATTGTATAACTTAATGTACTGGAATATTTACAGAATTCTAAGAAAACCTTTACCTTCTTTTTTGAAGAATATTAACTTGAAGAAACATTTTGGCATTTAACTGGCACAATACTTACCCATTTCTTGGAAAGAACCAATTAAACAGCTACAGGATTAATTTTTTTTTACGTATAGTCAGAATGAAAATTTAAAACATCACAAACTCTCAATGAAAAACAGTCTCTTAAAAACTTGGAATTTTACAATAAGGTAGCCATCCCACTCTAAAAACATAAGAATGTGTATGTGGAATTCTTTATCTAAAACTAAAAAATGAAACATTTAAAAATGTTTAAATAAATCTATATCACAACTTGTTTTTAAAAACAAACAAAATGTTATAGACCTTCGAGAAGAATCTACTTTTAGTACCTCAGATTTAGTGCAAAGATCTGAAATCAAGCATATTATATGACATACTACTTTTCACTTGAAAAGTAGTAAAATGGAAGATCTCTTAAATTGCATTACATACACGAATCCTTGGGAGTCTTTACAAATTAAATAAAAACTATATTTAACTTTCATCAAAATATCTACTAGAAATCTTTTAAAAAATCTAATACACTGTCATTTTAGATAATTTCTGCATTCAGTAACTACTAAAATGCCTTAAAGATAATGAATGTAAAATGCACTCTTCCCTTTCCTTCCCGTCAACTAAAAATCACAAGTCTTAAGTATAAGTTTTCAAAAATAGCATATATCACTGAAAATAAACTATTTTCTTTTTAACCAAAATGCCGAGTATTTTTAACTTTGTATAAATAACACACACACAAAAACCCCACCATATTTTATTTTGGGTATGGTGTCTAAAACGGAGTAGCACTGAAACAATTGGCAACAAGAAGCAACCTTTTTACTTAACTGAAAATATGTACGCTATAATTTTTCTTAAAGATATACATTATAAATTTTTACTGGCATTCTAGAATAAAATTAATGAGCATACTTTTGCACCAATTTACCTCATTTCCTCCTTGTACATAAGACTCTCTAATAAAAGGAAATCTCTTCAATGACTGCAATAGAATTCTGAAACTCCTTAAACATAGTCTTTAGAAAAAAAAATTCCTAACCCACTATGCATCTTAATGAGCTTATACATTTTAAAAACAACCTATTTTATGGCTTAAATTTAATGCATGACCATAGGTCCCAGGGATTGAAGAATCTTATTGGCAGTCTACCGCTCAAGTGATAACAATATTCTTGGCATTCTTAATCCCCATATTTTAAAAGAAAACTATTCATTGTAGTCTTAGAAAAAGTTGGAGATAGTTCTATTTAAAAAACACATTCACCACAAACACATACAGCGGAACAAATAAGAAAATAGATTGTGTTATATCTTTGTAAGCTTGTTCCATTTCAAAATGTATTCTTCAGGGTCAGGGAAATTTCCTATACAAATAAAACTAGATATTTGTTCCCTTTGCTTTGAAAAATATTTACAGGACATGGAGCTACAAGCTAAAAGTATACAACTGCTTATATTGCTGGCCAGTGATACAGATGAACAAGGACACAAAGGTGCTCATTCAATTATCAGAGCATCTGAATTTGTTTGTATAGCGAAGTTACTGTAGATCAACTATGGAAAAATTAGAAAACATTATTAATGCACACCAGCCCTGGTGTAAAACATCACACAAGATGCCGGTGTATTATATATCCACTGTGGTAAAAATTATATATGTATATATATTCTATGCATCTTTAACATTGAAAAATTTACATTCTAATTTTTTTCATCTCTCAAAAAACTGACTAAAAAAACTATTTTTTTCCTTTTGCCAGAGAATGGTGATGTTAACCAACTGATAAAGTTCATGAAACTTTTTACCAAATTTCTTGCTAAGGACTTTTCATCAATGTCTTTTACCGGTGGCCTCATGAAAGTTTTGAGCAGATATTTTCACATCTTTGCTGGCTAGCATCATGATATATGTAATAGTCCACAGCAATATGAAATACAAAACTTTGTTCTGTAAGTCTACTTTGGTCTCAGAGTGAAGGTCATTTTTTTTTCATCCAGCCATGTTGTCCCTTATTTGATCCACTTGAAGAGCTAGGTCCCTGAAGGAGGGGCGTTGAGTTACATTATTATTCCAGCATTCTGTCATGATCATATAAATCTATAAAAAATAAAATAAACCAAAATTACAGTGAACACAAAGTACCATCTTTTAATTGATGCAAGATACAATTTGAAACTCCCACTTAATTTTCCTATATAGGGCATGTATTATAAAGCTATCCTTGACCCACAGTCATCTGACTATGCTATTTAACTAAAAGCTCAGCAAATTAAATTTCAGAAAGTATCCTGAAATCCTTCAGTAAAAACAAAAAGAAAATGCATGATTAGTGTTGATAAAAACTTTTTGTTACCTCATCTGGGCATCCATCTGGTCTTGGTAATCTTCCATTATTTTTTAGGAGTTCTATCAGATGGAACACAATCATCTGTCCTTGCTTGTCATTGCCAATCATTCGCATAAATTCCTGAAATACAAACCCACTTTACAATGAAATTTTTAGTACATTTAATTTGAAGAAAAATTCTTTCTCAACTTCTTCTAGTAAATGGAAAAAAATCAGTACCTTTTTGTATGTTTTGAAACCTTTTCAAAAGGTCAAAAGGGTCAAAAGCTTTCTTTTCAGTCAATTATTTAGAAAAGAGTGTTAAATGTGATCCTCTATAATGCCATTTCCATAACTGTAATATACTCAACACAAATTCTCTGAGGTTTCAAAGCACATGAACTAAAAAGATATTTACTGTTGTTGTTGTTTTAACACATCATATTACATTTCAGTTGAAATAAAAAATTCATTGAAAAAGAGAACATAAGAAAAAGAAAATACAGAATGAATATTTAAACATAAATGCAATGGACATAAACCTTTTATATGTCAAAGATTCATAAACTTAAAGTCTGAATTACAAGCTTGGACTATTTACAACAAACATATCACTTTATTTAAATACAGACAGCTCTTATAAGTTGGTAAGAACAATTATCATTATAAAAATAGGCAAAGCACAGAGGAGACAATTCACACACACATGAATTACAAGCTTGGACTATTTACAACAAACATATCACTTTATTTAAATACAGACAGCTCTTATAAATTGGTAAGAACAATTATCATTATAAAAATAGGCAAAGCACAGAGGAGACAATTCACACACACACATACTCACCCCAAACACCCAATAAATACATACTCAATCACACTAATAAGAGAAATGAAAATTATAATAAAATAGATATAACTTATCTCCTATCAATTTAGCAAAACTGCATAAAATTATAATGGCCAATAATGGCAAATGATGAAATGTACAGCCCTATGCACTGCTACTGAGACGTAATCTGATACAGCTTTTCTGGAAAGCATTTTGAAATAATTGGAAACCTTTAAAGGTTATAATCATATCCTTTCATTTATAAGTATTACTTTTGTTCTAAGATCATAACTGGAGATAAACATTAATATTTATGTATAAGGGTGTTCACTATGTTCATTCATTGAAGTGTTAATCATTTTCCATTTTTCAGTCTTTTATCCAGAAATACACAGTATATCCTTACAATGGAATGCTACTCAGCAATTAGAAATCATATTTGCAGTAAATATTTACCAATATAGTAAAATACCCATGTGATAATAATGAAATAGCACGATAGCAAACGGTACACAGTATGACCTTAATTTTATAAAACAATATCTATCTTTTTAATAAAATTTCTCTTTTATGTATAAAATAAAAAGAAGCTTGGAAGAAAAACATACCACAATATTAAAGTGGTTATCTCTGAGCAATTGCATTAGAGATGATTTTTATTTTTTCTTACTTTCCCATATTAAAAAAAAAAATCTGTAGTGAACAGGAAAAAAAAGGACTTTGAAAGGTTTATATTAACTTATGCAATAATTCCTAGAATGAATGAGTTTATTGGAATACTAAGAATAATAATTAAGAGAATATACTAATGCTCCAAATCCTTGCTCCTTTTAAAAATTCGAGTTAATTTAATGAATGACTTTAGGGTTATTTTGTTGGTTACTGCCTTACAAATAAGCAATATGAGGCTCTAAAATTAGCCCTAGGCTTATTACTATTCTCTGGATAAAGCCTTTTTCATGCTAAAAAAAAATTGAAAGTAAATAAAAAGCACACTGACCACTGGTGGACTTTTACTCTTCTCAATATATGTGAAAAGTTCATACAGAACCACTCCAAAGCTCCAGACATCTGAGGCCACAGAAAACTTGCTCTCTGTCAGTGATTCTGGAGCATACCTGTAATACATAGAGGGCATTTAAATGATAGTTCGTATAACTTCGTATAATGTATGCTATACGAAGTTATGCTCTCTCAATGTTGACCCTTGGCTGGCACCTGGGAACTTAGATTTCAGGAGGGTTTCCACAATTCATAAATGGTAAGAGTGGCTCACTGTGCCTAAACCATCTGTGCAAAGAATATGGTTTATGCTAACACCTGCTCTCCTTTTGAGAGTCTGGAACTCTGGTACATGCCAGGCAGAGAGTGCCTATGTGATCAGTCCCAATAAATGTCTTGGGAAGTGAGTCTCTCATGAACTTCCCTGGTAAACAATATTTCACATGTGTTGTTACAATTCATTGCTGGGGGAATTAGACATGCCCCATATGACTTTACTGGGATAGGATCCTAGGAAGCTTGTACTTGATTTCCTCCCGGCTTTGCCCAATACATCTTTTCCCTTTGCTGATTTCACTTTATATTCTTTCACTATAATAAATCATCCCATATGACTTTACTGGGATAGGATCCTAGGAAGCTTGTACTTGATTTCCTCCCGGCGTTGCCCAATACATCTTTTCCCTTTGCTGATTTCACTTTATATTCTTTCACTATAATAAATCATAGCCCCCGGCTTTGCCCAATACATCTTTTCCCTTTGCTGATTTCACTTTATATTCTTTCACTATAATAAATCATAGCCATGAATGTGACTATATGCTCAATCCTGTGAATCTTCCTAACAAATCATCAAATCTAGGGGTGGTCTTGGGAACCTAAATAAAAATCCAAAGGAATTTATTTTTGTCTCTGTAGGTAGCACCAGGGTTAACTGCAAAGTACCTTTTAAGAACTGAAAAAAGCAGGGAAGACTTCTCTTAGAGTCTATGGAAAACTTGTAATTGTAAATTCTTTGTCTCTTTGAAATGTGTGTAAATCTTCTCAAAAGCTCTTACTTAAAAGCCTCTTGCCAGTTTTATGACCAAGGGATGTCCTTCTCAAGAATCTGGGAACCATCTCTTTGGAATATAATCAAGGAGGATAGCACACTTACCTCCTAGTAAGGGTAAGAGCCTAACTTAGGCAAGATCTTACTTCCAAACTGCAAATCTATCACCTGTCATAAAAATATGAAAAGTGTACTTTTCCTTAGTCTAAAGCCAACTAGCTAAAATGAATAGTCACTCCAATTACCAGGTGAATTTAGGATGAACTATGTGTGTGACAAATAGTGCTGTCAAGTCCTCTTACTTGAGGATTATTAATGCTTATCTTGAGAATGCGTATGTAATAGATTCTGTTTGGTTGTATAAGAGATCTTTTCTGTCTTTGCAGTATCTTAGAGGATTGCTTGTGATGCACATCACATCCTGATTTAATGCTTATTCAATAATAAAATTGTTTTCTTTCTTTTCTATCTTTGTGGAGAGATTGTCTGGGTTGGGAGATTTTGTTTTTAATTATATTTCCCCAACACTTCCTCCTCTTTTCTCTCTCTTCTAAATTTGGGGTTTCCCAAAGTTCCATCATCAGATTTCTTCTCTCTGTTAAAATCTTTCTCTTAGTATCATCCACCTGTATATTAAAGTCTCCCAAATTTATAACCATATCTTTGACCTCTCTTTAGTGTTCCAGACTTATTGAACGTTTCCACATTAAAGATCTAGAAACAAACAGAACTCCATCTTTATCTTTCAAAAACCTGCTGATTTTGTTACTTTTCTTATACAATGCATGTCATCACAATCTGTTTAACTGCCAAAGCTGGAAATTTTAAGAATTATTTTGACTCATTTTTCATGCCAATGTCTAATGAGCCACCAAGTCCCTTTAAAGTATACCTTAGAAATGTCTCTAATCAGTCTCCTAACCCACTATTCATTGCTGTAGTCTTAGGTTAGGTCCTTACATTATGACTAGTACAGAGGTCTTTAAACCAGATGAAGAGTAACCCCATGGTCATACAAAGATTAACCAAGGGATGCACATAGCAAGAATAGTATAAGGATCCTCCGTGAGTCCAAAATCTGCTTCAACAATGTCTTATATTTAAGCAGAAGCATTTCCTCCCAGTTCCTAGTATCAGTCCCTAGTACATGCTGAAACGTGTTGTTAGCCTGCAACAAAAGAGCATTTTTGAACAACAAAAGCAATATAGATGACAAATTTATTCTAAATAAAATTGAATTTTTTAAAAGATATGATGGCTAAATCCTATGGATAAAAATTATATGTAATTTTACCCAGACATCTGATTTAGTGTTTGCTATGCTTTGAATGTGTCCCTCTCAAAATCCAGATGTTGAAACAATGGCCAATGTGAGAGTATTAAGAGGTAGGGCCTTTAAGAGATGATTAGGCTGTGAAGGTTCCTCCCTCATGAATGGGATTAAGGCCCTTATAAAAGAGGCTTCACTCAGCTTTCAGCTCCTCTTGCCCTTCCACCTTCCTCCATGTGAGTACACACTGTTCCTCCACTGTGAAGAATGCAGCATCAGGCTGCACACAGCATCCCTCACCAGACAACTGAACCTGCCAGCGCCTTGATCATGGACTCCTAGCCACCAGAACTGTGAGAAATAAATTTCTGTTTTTTTATAAATTACCCAGTCAGTGGTATTTTGTTATAGCAGCACAAATGGACTAAGACAGTGTTCATTATTGAATAAGTTAGCTAAAACCTATTTTATTAATCCATGTTATTAAATATTTATACAAAATTTAGTCAACCTTATTTCATTATGTAAAATATTTAGTATTTCTACATGCTAACATAAAAATAAAACTACATGCCAACTGCCTATCTGATTAGTTTTTCGCAGCATATATCATTCGCTTTCTTTAAGTACATAGGAAAATTCTGATCATGATAAAAATAAGGTTATTTCTGATTTTTATAAAAGCCTCTTAATTATTCCCCAAAGTCAAACATCAGAGTTTGCTACATACCCCTCCCCAACATATTTACTGAAGAAATGCCATGTCTTTTACCATATATCTCACTTCATAAGTTGTCATCTTAGCATTTACTCTGTATTATTTATTGCAAATTAAGTAATGAGAAATGATTTTTCATAGTTTCATAACTTAATATAAAATTAATTATACTAGATATACATCATCTTAAGCTTATCATTTGCTCCCAAGACTTATCTTTTCAGATATTCAGGCAGAGATACATTTCCCGAAGCTTATATAATTTGGAGGCTTTCTTTATGACAAGGAATACATTAGGCATGAAAGTGAATATTAGAATTAGAAAAGAAGGAACCTTGAAAGAAAGGAGCTCTGGTAGATATTACTTCACAATAAACACGCCTCTGAGCATGTGTTCTGCCATTTATCAGTTTTTTAAAATAACATTTTGTAACATTAATATACTTACTTGAACTGAAAAATGAAGTCAGACTTTTTTTGTAAGAAATTAAATGTGATTTGTTTATGAGGTCTAGCATTGCCAAATGGGTTATATAAAGGACATTCTTTATAAAATCAACTCAACCTTTGAAGCTGCTTAAAGTTCTGCCATATTTAAATCATATATTTAAAACGTGACAAAAGATGTTATTAAAAATACTGTAGGGCCGGCCCGGTGGCGCATTCGGTAGAGTGTGGCACTTGGGAGCGTGGCGGCACTCCCGCCGAGGGTTCGGATCCCATGTAGAGACCGGTCCGCTCACTGGTTGAGCGCGGTGCGGGCGCGACACTGAGGGTTGTGATCCCATTACCGGTCACGAAAAAAGACAAAAAGGAAAAAAAAAATACTGTATATCCTGTCTTTCCAACTTTTTCTGAATGTATGAGTTTAAACAATGTACTTTTATGTGAAATTGTAACAGCATAATTTGAATTAATTTGAAAAACTTTTTTGGAATACTTCTGAGAAACTGAATGACTCTAAAGATTGGTTAGTAAGCCCATTTTTGAAAGTCAACTGGATTTAACTCTTTGCTTTCAATAAAACTGAAACAGAATGGATCTAATAAAACTGCCAGCTAACAGATAATTTTTAATAATAGGTCACTATATACTCTTTTCTACATATCTCAGAAGGAGTTACAGAAATGAATAATATTGTTATAACAAAACTCCTTCCACTCCTGTCTACTTTTTGCCAAACAAGTCTTCTCAGTGTTTACATCTATAAAAATGCAAAAGAAACACAGAATTTATGCTGAATCTTGTCTTGTTACAGAAATAACTAATATTCAGCTAAGGATATATAAACTAATTGGTGGGTTCTCCATCTCACTAAGAAATGTCTCCAATAAAATTTTTTAAGCAATTATCCAAATTTGTAATTTATTTACATTGCTTTGGAAAACTGTATCCTGATAGTAACTTCAATGATAATGCAATCCAGAAGAAAAATGTGAATACTTACGAGTTTTGTGGATACAGAAAATTTTTAAATTAATTTCAATTTATATGCTTTGGTTACAAAGAACGTAGGTAATCAAAATATTTTCCAAGTACAAAATGTAATACTTTATGCAAAATTTGGCGTGAGAAGGGAAGTGAAAATATAATTTTAAAGATAAAATGGAAGGATATAAAGTTTCGATCAAAAATAAGGCTATTTCTATACCTTTTTTTTTTTTTTCCTTTTTGTCTTTTTTCGTGTCCGGCAACGGATCGCAACCCTCAGTGTTGCGCCTGTACCGGACCGGGACCAGCAACGGGATCGCAACCCTCGGTGTTGCGCCCGCACCTCGCTCAGCCAGTGAGCGGGAACCGGTCTGTAGTTTTTCAGAATTCTTTTATTGGGTAAATACACACAAAAGGTTTTAAAACCAATGATCTAGATCCTTGAAAAAGTTGCCTAATTAGCCACCTCTCTGCTCTTAGCCTCTCCTTAATACAATGCTCCCCCTATATCAGTAGTTCTCAAACCTTTTGGTCTCAAGCTCCCCTATGTACTCTTACAAATTATTAAGGTCCCCAAAAGACTTTTGTTTATGTCAGTTATATCTACTGATATTTAGTATTACTATTGGCATTTAGATATTAAAACTAAGAAAATGTAAAAATATTTATTAATTCATTTAAAATAACAGTAAACCCATTACATGTTAACATAAGTAACATATTTTATGAACTATTTTCCAAAACAAAAAAATTTTGTGAGAAAAAGTAGTATTATTTTACATTTTTGTGAGTCTCTTTAAATTAATTAGATAGAAGACACGCCTTGTAGCCTCTGGAAAATTCTACTATATACTCATTTAAAAAAAGAGAGCAAAAAAGGTAAGTAACATCTTAATATTATTATGAAAATACTTTTGACCTCACAGACACCCTAAAAGGGGGTTCCAGGAGTCCCCACACTTTGAGGACTGCTGTTCTTTAACCAAAAGTAGGGCTATATTCCTAAAATATGGTTCTTACCATGTTATTTTCCTGGATAAAATTTCTAATTTCCCACCTTATACACTGTCTATGGAATAAGATCTGAACTTATGAAGTACAAGATTTGTCTTAATCTATTTGTGCTCCTATATCCTATAACAGAATACCTGACACTGGATAATTTACAAAGAGCAGAAATTTATCTCTCACAGTTCTTGTGGCTGGGAGTCTATGATCAAGGCACTGGCAGGTTCAATTGTCTGGTGAGGGATGTTCTCTGCTTCCAAGATGGTGCCTTGATGCTGCATCCTCTGGGTAAGTAACATCTTAATATTATTATGAAAATACTTTTGACCTCACAGACACCCTAAAAGGGGGTTCTAGGAGTCCCCACACTTTGAGGACTGCTGTTCTTTAACCAAAAGTAGGGCTATATTCCTAAANAACCCTCAGTGTTGCGCCTGTACCGGACCGGGACCAGCAACGGGATCGCAACCCTCGGTGTTGCGCCCGCGCCTCGCTCAGCCAGTGAGCGGGAACCGGTCTGTATGTGGGATCCGAACCCTCGGCGGGAGCGCGCCACCACACTCCCAAGCAGCGCACTGTAGCAGTGCGCCACCGGGCCGGCCCTATTTCTATACCTTTTTAAGTGGGTGACTGTAGGTATCAAATTGCTATAGTATTTAGATCCCATTGATACATATAAAAGATTGATATAGCTGTTATTTACATGTCAATATTTACAATACTGTAGAAAATACATTATTTATAACTACTTAAACTTACAAAGAAAAAATTAGCCATCAACTTTTAAATGTGCAAGAGAAGATATAGTTTTTCAGAATTCTTTTATTGGGTAAATACACACAAAAGGTTTTAAAACCAATGATCTAGATCCTTGAAAAAGTTGCCTAATTAGCCACCTCTCTGCTCTTAGCCTCTCCTTAATACAATGCTCCCCCTATATCAGTAGTTCTCAAACCTTTTGGTCTCAAGCTCCCCTATGTACTCTTACAAATTATTAAGGTCCCCAAAAGACTTTTGTTTATGTCAGTTATATCTACTGATATTTAGTATTACTATTGGCATTTAGATATTAAAACTAAGAAAATGTAAAAATATTTATTAATTCATTTAAAATAACAGTAAACCCATTACATGTTAACATAAGTAACATATTTTATGAACTATTTTCCAAAACAAAAAAATTTTGTGAGAAAAAGTAGTATTATTTTACATTTTTGTGAGTCTCTTTAAATTAATTAGATAGAAGACACGCCTTGTAGCCTCTGGAAAATTCTACTATATACTCATTTAAAAAAAGAGAGCAAAAAAGGTAAGTAACATCTTAATATTATTATGAAAATACTTTTGACCTCACAGACACCCTAAAAGGGGGTTCTAGGAGTCCCCACACTTTGAGGACTGCTGTTCTTTAACCAAAAGTAGGGCTATATTCCTAAAATATGGTTCTTACCATGTTATTTTCCTGGATAAAATTTCTAATTTCCCACCTTATACACTGTCTATGGAATAAGATCTGAACTTATGAAGTACAAGATTTGTCTTAATCTATTTGTGCTCCTATATCCTATAACAGAATACCTGACACTGGATAATTTACAAAGAGCAGAAATTTATCTCTCACAGTTCTTGTGGCTGGGAGTCTATGATCAAGGCACTGGCAGGTTCAATTGTCTGGTGAGGGATGTTCTCTGCTTCCAAGATGGTGCCTTGATGCTGCATCCTCTGTAGTGGAGGAACAATGTGCCCTCACATGGAGGAAGGTGGAAGGGCAAGAGAGGCCACAAACTGAATGAAGCCTCTTTTATAAAGGGTCTTAATCCCATCCAAGAGGGAGGAAGCCTCACAGCCTGATCATCTCTTAAGGTTCTACCTCTTAATACTATCACATGGGCAACATCTGAATTTTGTAGGAGACACATTCAAACCAAGTCCCAATTACTCCCTGTTTGTTCAGTGATTATGCCATTCACTTGCAAGCCCTTGATCCTTGTTCTTATTGATATCCTCATGGAATGCTCTTCCTCTTGTCTATCTGGTAAACCTCCTACTAATCAATGACTGAAATGTCACCTCTTAGTAGCTGTTTTCTCTAATTGACTTAAATCCTCAGCAGAATTAATTTTACTCTTATGGTTTCCCATTATCTTTTTCATTATTGCACTTATACACTGCATTGCAATGATGTGATTATACATTTGATTTTTCCTAAATTATGAGCTCTTAAAGGGAAGGGGTTATGAGTAGTAGACCTGTCAGCTGAATTTGCCTGCCATATCAAACTTTTCCTTTTAGTTCAGCCTTTCTACTGAGGGACAGTCCTTTTTTTCTGATGCTGATCCTATCTTCATATCCAATATCCTTGTATGGTGTTTTGAGCACAGTAAGTACTTAATAAATGTTTATTAATATTGTATTTGTTAAGTGTGCCCAAATCATTAGATCTTCTTATAACTAATATTTATTGAATGCCAGTTAATTCCATTTATTTTCTTTAATTTCTCATTCTGGAAAAAAAAAGAATAAAATTCATGTATCACTGGGGACATGACCAAAATAGATCGTCATATTTAGATAAGTCTTATTTGCTAATTTCACTTATACCCTAAAAATGATTAGATAAAGGTAATGCTAATGATTATCATGAGGACATTCCTTAAAATGTTTTTAATATTATGAAAAATTTCAAACCTACACAAATTAGAGAACAATGAACAACCATGTACCTGTCACTCAGCTAAACTCATTGCCCCTCTTGTTTCATATATTACTTCCTACCTTCACCCCACTGGATTTATATGAAATGAGTCCCAGACATAATGGTATTTCAACCATAATTATTTTAAGATCTATCTTTAAAAAATAAAGACTCTTCTTTAAAACACATTCATAACACCACTATAAGTTACTCTTCTATGAAAATAATCAATTTGTTCTAAATCATTGGTGCTTTCTTACCTGATTTCTTTCTGGACTAACAATTTGCAATAGCTGGAATTAGTCATAAAATTTACAGACACAAAATAAAATGAAGGTAACTAGCACATATGGATGATCCATGAACTTAGCAGTAGCAAACTGAATAATCTACATATTTCTAATAATTCTGATTAATACTAGAAAAATATTTATAAATTGACAGTTACACTGCTTGTATTAGTAATTCTAATTTTCAAGTCAGATATCAAGAATGTAAATAAAACATAACTAACTAAAATAAATAAACAAAACCCCTCCTTTAACACTGACATCTGGCTCAGACAATATGGTCTTAGTATTATTTCAGCAGATTAATAAACCAGAATTGGGCTGGCCCGGTGGCGCACTGGAGAGTGCGCCACTTGGAAGTGTGGCGGCGCTCCCGCCGAGGGTTCGGATCCCATGTGGAGACCGGTTCCCGCTCACTGGCTGAGCGCAGTGCGGGCGCGACACCGAGGGTTGCGATCCCGTTACCGGTCAGTAAAAAAGAGACAAAAAGGAAAAAAAAAAAAAAACAGAATTAAAGTCTGTTTGGAACATATACAAAAACAAAACATTTAAATATAATTTCACCAAGTCATCTCTAGAAAACAAAATGCACCATAAATAAAGGCATGAAAAAGAAAATTTTGCATCAAAGAACAGATCAATAGAAACAACAATGTATTACACATAAAAAATTAGGTTTGAGGGCCAGCCCGTGGCTCACTTGGGAGAGTGTGGTGTTGATAACAGCAAGGCCACGGGTTCGGATCCCATATAGGGTTGGCCGGTTAGCTAACTGGGTGAGCGTGATGCTGATAACACCAATACCAGTCATCTTTTTAAAAAAAAAAAAAAATTAGGTTTGAATGCTCCTCACAATTAATTCACACTTTTAATTGAAGATCAAAAATAACCTTTAGCTTAAAATTGCTGTAACATATAAAAACTTTCAGTTAATGCCAGATTAAAGTACTATTATGGTTAAGAAAGCTTAAAAGCACAAACTCTGGGAGCAGACTATCTGAGTAGAATCCCATTCTACCACTTATTAGTTACATGGCTTGGTTAAGTTATTTAACCATCTATGCTTCAGTTTCCTCATGCTTAAAACAGATATAATACTAATACATTTTCTCCAAGGGTTGCTATGAGGATTAAATGAGATAATACATGAAATGCATATAGCCCAATGTAAACATAAATGTTCACTATTATTATAATATTTATATATATATAAAAATATAAATGACAAACTACTCAACAATAATAGTAAAAATAAAGTTTGAAGTTTGTGCTCTAAAATTTCACATTATACTGAAATATACTCACCAGAATATGGGACTTTCACCAGGTTCTTTCACTTTGTAGTATTCTTTGTCTTGTGGCAAAACTTTGGTTAACCCAAAATCTCCTATTTTAACTCTGTTCTCATTCTCCACCAATATATTTCTTGTTGCCAGGTCCCTGTGGATGTACCTTTTTGTACCAAGATACTCCATACCCTATGGATAAAATAACATTTTTCTTTCAGCTAGTTTTATTAACATAAATAATTTAAATGGTCTTATCCCTACTCACTCTCTTTATTATTTAAGAAAAAGTCTAGAGGATTTATCCTCTAGTAATTACTCCAACATGCTCACTCCAACTACAACAAATAACCAGGATATTACATACCTTGCATATCTGATATGTGTACTGCAGAAGTTTTTTGTGATCTATCCGTTCTTTGTGTTTTTGGAGATAGTCTCGTAAACTTCCATATGGTAAATACTCCATAATTAATCTTAGATTACGCCGGCCTTTTAATATACAAATAGAAATACAGTGTTTTACTTTGCCATATTTTACTGATGAAATATTAGAAAACAACCATATATAAATGACTTAAAGATATATAAAACCTGAGTCTAAGATATCAAAACTTTATTATAAATTAAAGGTGACATAGTAGTTAAGAACACAGGCTTTTGGAATCAAGAAGTTTTGAAAATAAGCTTTAAAAATATTTATATTTTAGGGCTGGCCCCGTGGCTCACTCGGGAGAGTGCAGCGCTGGTAGCGCCGAGGTGACGGGTTCGGATCCTATATAGGGATGGCCGGTGTGCTCGCTGGCTGAGTGTGGTGCGGACCACACCGTGCAAAGGGTTGCGATCCCCTTACTAGAAAAAAAAAAAAAAAAAAAAAAAAAATTTATATTTTAGTCCTTTGTAACCCTAGGCAAACCAAAATAAGCTGATGAGTAAACTCCCTTTCACCTCATTTATATTGAACAAAAAGCCATCTAAGTTAAAAATAACATTTTTATAAAAAGTATGAGGAAAGACCATTTATTTCTTTAAAAATTATATTCTCTTGGTAAGTTTAAGCAAATGTAAAAGAGAATGATTAACTAGCCAAAGACTTCCTGTAGTTACAGCCCATAACCACCATGCACAATCTTTAGTCATATAAAATGCATCTATCTCTGGACACTGGATTAAGTCCAGACTTAGACATTGTACATTTTTGTTACCCAGGATGCCAAAGACATACCTTGAGTTTAAAATAGGTTTCAATGGGCAACATACCAGCACTGTAGCACACTCCCTTGTACTTTACAATGTTGTCATGCTGTAGGGATTTCAGGATTTCAATTTCCCTTTCGAAGTCTCTGAGGTGCTCTTCAGTACTATGCTGGAGCTTTTTTACAGCCACCACCTCCCCAGTGTTGTCCTGTAGAGGGTCATACCGGCACATCTCCACACTCCCAAAATTACCCTAAACAACAGTCACATTAGAATGGAAATCTCAAGTTTTCAAGATAAATTACTAAGACAGCAGAGCAATCTTTCTCTCTCTCTCTCTCTGTCAGAGTGCACTAAGAAAAGTTTTAAAAAGGAATATTTTCATACCATTGCAATGATATTCATAAATATTTGTATACATTTTAATTAAGGATACTTAAGAACTAGCTGTTCAAAAGATAGGTTTTAAAGGCCCTTGATACAGAAAGTCTCTAGAAGGGGTTACCAATTTACATTCTAAAAAGCAGTGGGAAAGTGTCTATTTTATCACATGACTGCCAACATTGGCCGCTATAATTTTTCTAAATCTTTGGCAATTTGATAGGCAAAAATCAGTCTCACTGTTTTAATTTGGAATGTCCCTATTTTCTGTTGGAAGAAGAACATGAAGGCAAATGCTGAGAACAAAGAGACTGTATTATTCTTGTATTAGGAAATGACAGGAAAAGAGAAGCAGATAATCAGGGGAAGGAAGATGATATAACTGGATACCAGTGAAACCAGAGTTTACATGGTCCATCAGGGTTCCAGTCAAGATGGTGGAATACATGGTCCACAGCGTCACTCTCTCCCATAAATCAATAAACTATAAAACAATAACATCAGCCAAGATGGGGCTGCTGGAGCTCAGGGAAAGAGGAGGAGAGAACTACGGAGTTCACAAAGGCGGGAGAAATCAAGATGAGAGAAAGAAAAAGCTGCTTTGAGTGTTTCGGGCTGTGGCCGCTTTAAGGCCTAAGCTGCTGAGAGCATGGAGCAGGAGCCGGCAGAAGCTGCAGCTGTGCCCTTCAGATGGAGTTACTTGGAGGCGGCAGGGGAGAAGAGGGTCTTGGTGACCCCCAGGACAACAAGACCACTAATAGGGTGCCTGTGGACCCACACAGGAGCAAGGAGCCAGAACAGCTGGGAAAAGGGAGCCATTCAGAGGCTGGCGAGTCATCACAAGGGATGGGCGCAGGGCCCATCCTATAGGAAGTGTTTGGAGCATGGGCGGTGGGGGAGACAGGCCCACAGGAAGAACACAGGGGCACAGCAAGCACAGCTGATCTGCCCCCCAATCAGCACAGGACCACTCAGAGGAGACTCGTTGGGAATGCAGAATTGCATGGGGTGCAGTTTGACGAAAAAACTCAGGCCCAGATCAGAGTTTCTATATAACCCAGGTGCACCCGGTCTCTGGACAGCCGGATGTAACTATGAGGTCAACCATTCAACCCTGAGCTGCACAAAAAGCCTTTCCGAGGGAAACAGCAGCAAAGCAGCAATTTAGCTCAACCACACAGCTCAAGTACTGGTTCCCACAGGAAGTTCCCCCGTTTTAGAAGTAAGCAAAGGACAAAAAATTAGTTCTGGCCCAGGCACACCACCAGCACCTTGGGGCCCGCCAGGGGACATGAGGTATGGAGTTGGGGACTGGATCTCCACCCCAAACCACTCACAACACCAGCGCCTTGCGGTCCACCCGGGAAAATGAGGCTTGGAGCTGGGGACCGGACCCCACTCCCACATCCAGGCATACCACCAGCACCTTGGGGTCTGCCCCGGTGCCTGCATCCTGCAGCCAGGGACCAGACCTCCCTCCCAAAATCAGGCACACTCCTAGCACCTCAGGGCCCCACCTGGGGGTCTGGGGCATGGAGAAGGGGACCAGACCCCCTCCCACAACCAGGCACACTGCGCCAGTGCCTTAGGGCCCTCTTGGTGACCTGAGGCATGGAGCCAGGGACCAGACCTCTCCTCCCCCAACCAGGCACACTGTGCTAGCACCATGGGGCCTGCCTGGGGACCTGAGGCATGGAGAAGGGGACCAGACTCCCCTCCCACAACCAGGTACACCGTGCCAGCATCTCAGGGCTCACCCGGGGACCTGAGTCATAGAGAAGGGTACCGGACCCTCCTCCCCCAACCAGGAACACCACGCCAGCACCTCAGGGCCTGTCCAGGGACCAGAGGCATGGAGAAGGGGACTGGAACCCCCTCCCACAACCACGCACACTGTGCCAGCACCTCAGGGCCCATTTAGTGACACAAGGCATGGAGCCAGGGTCTGGGCCCCCCTCGACAACCAGGCACACCACACCACTGCCTTGGGGCTCACCCAGGGACCCGAGGCATGGAGAAGGGGACTGGACCCCCCCCACAACCAGGCACACCATGCCAGGGCCTCAGGGCCCGCTTGGTGAGCCAAAGCATGACTGGACTCCCCTCCCACAACCAGTCACATTGCGCCAGTGCCTTGAGGAAAGCTTGGTGACCTGAAGCATGGAGCCGGGAACTGGACCTCCCCTCCCACAACCAGGCACACCATGCCAGGGCCTCAGGGCCCTGCCTGGGGACCAGAAGCATGGAGCCAGACACCAGACATTCCCCACAACCAGGCACACTGCCAGCACAAAGGAGCATGCCCCAAACATCACCTCCATGTGGGTGGCCCACCAAAGCCACCACTATAACCATGGCTGCCGCAAAAGTGGCTAGATGCCACAACTACCATGCAGATGGTCCGCCAGCCACTGGAGTGCATTGACACAAAGAGAGTCACCAGCAGAGATAAAAGAAGTGGATGTCTCTCTCCACAAAGCCCATTTCAGAGTGACAGAAGAAGCATCTATGATAATATTGGGGGACTTGATCACACCTCTCAGCATTGGACAGATCATTTAGGCAACAAATCAACAGAGTAACCATTATTCTTTCAGAAGGAGAGAAGAAATCTAGGGTAATTGGAGGGGGTAGGGGGGAAGGAGAGGGGTATGGGGAGAGACTGGACAAGAGGCATGAAGAATAATTATGATTCATAACAATATATATGCTAGTAATGTTGATGTGATCAACATATCTCAATGTTGAACCCCAAGTATTTGTATAATCAATTTTGATTCAATAAAAATAAAATAACAACAATAATAGTAATAATAATAATAATAATAAATGGTCTTTCATGAGATCCACCCATCTAGGAAAGGAGAGATCTGAATCTAGAAGGTAGCTAATAAGCTTTAAGAAGGAGAAAGTGTTAAAGACACTAGAAATAACAAAGATAGCAAGAAGAAGGATTTATATTTTGAGAAGAATCAAAAGATACAAAGTTATAGTCAGAGAGGGAGATTTCAGGGTCTGAAATTTCATATGTAAAGATGACAGGAGATTATAGAGTTCAAAGTAAGTTAATAAATATGAAGGTATTTCAAAAAGTTCATGGAAAAATATAATTAAAAGATAATATGAACCTTTCCATGAACTTTTTGAAGACCCCCCGCCACACATAGACGTAAGTTTGGGGTAGAGAAGTGGAGGATTTTTAAAAAGGCATTTGGAAGGGCATCCAAAATAATGGCAGGAGGTAAGATGAAGGAAACAATGAGTACCAAAGTACTCAAGGAATGTGGACCAAGATGTCGTCCAATGATGGGAAGAGGGGAGAATAACAATCATATTCAGAGAAGACTAAGAATGATGTTGAGCATTCTTAGTTACGGCGAGGTCCAGATCTCTGAATCCGCAGATCTGCACCATGGAGGGACAGGGAGTAAAGAGGATTTCAAAAAAGCCAGGTTTTAACGGAGGTGAAGTAGTAAAGGATGTAAAGAATATAGGTATATGTGGGAATGAGGATAAAAGAAGACGGCAAAAACATTCTCAAGTAGCAGAAGAAAGGTTTCACAAGGGCTTCTTAGCTCTTTTTTTACAAGAGTATTAAGTGAAAATATACCATTATTTCTCTTGGTTTAAAAATATGAAAATACTTTAAGTACATATCCCTCTTTTGAATATTTTTACCATGTTGCTAATTGAAAAGAATAATTTAAAGGAATGCAGTGTGCCAACAGCTGCATTTTATAAAATGAAAATATGACATGCTATCATTTTTTAAGATAGGGCATTTTAGATTGTGTCAATAAGGCAATACAAATAACTAAACAAACCATTGAACACATCAATTCTTTCAAACAAGCAAAGGTAAAATTAAAATTAGGGCTAAATGCAGACAGGAAATATCCACATCAAAATATGTGTAACCAACTAGAGATCACACTATTTTCCTTTCATTTCCCACAAACTAAATTACTGAGAAATATATTTGGTTGTATACATATTTTGAAAATGCCTTCCTTACAGTCTCCTCAAGTTATTTATTTTATATTTAAAAGAGGGTTGGCTGGTTAGCTCAGTTGGTAAGAGCGTGGTGTTCATAACACCAAGGTTCAAGGTTTCATCCCTGTGCTGCCAAAAAAAGAAAAAAAGAAAAAAAAAAAAGAATTTTAAAACCAAAGAACTACATTAAAAAAGTAAAAATATAAAAAAGAAAAAAGGAATAATTCAAAATTATAATAATGGGAAATGCTGTAAATAAATTATGGTACATTTACTTTTAAATTATATTTGAAAAGAATATTAATAACATGGGAAAATCTTGATGATATCATAAAGGAAAAATAGAAAGATACAGAATTATATATGGTAGCATGGTTTCACTTTTGAAAGAAAGTGTGTTTGTGTGTAGGTGTAGAGACTAGAATGAAGGGACTACATCTACATTTTCCAATTTCTCTGAAATTTTACATATTACTTTCATAACTAGAAAAAAATTACTTAAAAAAGATACTTTATAAATTAGTGTGATCTTCTTCGTTAATCTAAATTAATAATGTCTTGTGTTAACATCTATTTCTTAAAGGTCCATGTTACATCTATTTCTTAAATCCCAGTATATATTGCCAAGTTATAACCATGTCCATTGTTTTGCTTCAATATATGACTGATGTGTTCGGGGCTAACGGAACTTTTTTTAAGTTAAGCAAAAAAAGCAAGCAAACAAAATCAAGATCTAATAAACAACAAAAGACTATATGATTAAGAAATAAATTTTGTGGAAGAGATACTAAGTGCTGTAGGCTCCCAGAAAAGAGAAAAATTGATGACAGCTGGAGACATTTTAGGAAAATTTTTATGGCATAGATGATAATAGATAATACTAACAGGGAACTTACTCCGTGAGGAAATTTCTATTCCCTAAATAGAAACAAA